TGTGTTCACAGCGAGAATCGAACACATGATCTCAGAGGTAAAAAGGCGCTTACATGCTCTGATGAAAGCCCCATATTGCCCTGAAACTAAATTTCTTCCACGACTCATACATGTAAGATGACATGGATGTCAAGTGTTGGGATCCCGTTGCAAATTTTTTTGGTTAACTCCAAAAAACTGAAGAGAATTTTCTAGTAAATAAAGAACGTCAAACCTGCAGTTGTAAAACAGGCTCTTGTATAACTGAAGGGGACGACAACTCCCATTTTTTCTCGCCATCAATCTCTGCTCCAGTCTTATTCTTCACAGCATGCCACATCGCTATCTTACCAAGGTTTGTCCCGCCAGCAAGAATACCTCGGTAAATATAAAATATAGTCGGACCTCTGTGTACCAAAAGGAATATATCTACTATGGCTGTGAAATATACGGCAAGTTCGCTTTGAATATTTAATGTTTAAAGGGGCAATGTCACCGATTTTTGAGAAATTCTAACTCTCGCAAATTTTGCCCAAAACTGAAAAAGAATGAGTGTAAGCACAAAATAAAGCAATAACAGACACAAAAAACATGTACAGAAGTCTGGATGGGCAAGATTACGCCAGGATTGAGATGGATTGTAAATGGCATCTTGATTAATTGTTGGCGGACACTTTTTCAAGTTTTAGTCAATTTTTTTGAAAATGTCATGTTACATGTTGCGTGGAAGTTCAAAGTTGTTTAATATGACTCATATATCATAACTTAATCCATTTACAATGTTTATTTTTAACTTTGTAGTTCAGTTTTTGAATAAAAAGCATTTTAGGTTAAAAATAGGTGACAGCCTGCCGGTTTCCACAAGCTGCGCGAAGCGACATTTTGCTATTGTTTTAGAGCTATCAGTTGCAACCATCTGGAACAAATTGCCCAAATTAGACAAAGGATAAATTCCCTTCGCGCGAAAAAAATCGCTAGTGGAAAACCGGCTTTATGAAGTTTGTTCTTCAAGTTCTTGCGTAAAACACGCACTGCGTAAACTTTTCTTTTTCAATTTAACTTAAGAAAAAAGGAAAAATGTGAAAGAACCGAACTGAAATTAAACAACAATTTGAACTTTTTTTTTCATTACAGGACATTAGTAAAAACAGTTTTTCGCCAAAAACAGTGTGGTTGAATTAACATTTCAAAACATTTTACGAAGCAATTCAGTTAAACATTTTACATTAAATTAAAGTTCACAAAATGCAACAAAACTGCTCAGAGCATGCAAAAAAAGTTTTAAGAGTAAATTATGACCACGCGAAATTACTTTGTTTTACCGTTTTAGTAAACGAACAACAGATGCAACACTTTATATTAGTTATAATTACAGTTAAAACGAGTAAATGTGAACTTGAAGACCGAAGTTGCTTTTGAGCCTTCAAAGAACCTAATATTTTTAAACCTTTCCTCAAATTGAAAATTAGACAGGAAATCAAAACTTTTGGACGATGAAAACTTATTCTTAGCTTTGTTTATAGCTACTTTATATTTCTCACTCCTATAGTCAAATTCAATCTGGCGGATTTGAAAGGGCATGCTTGAGAAAAAGTGGAGACATGATTCGTGATCAAGTACGCATTCTATATTTCTATGGGCTAACCCTGCTTGTTACATCACCAAAACCACCGTTCAATAATGAGATGAAAACAAAATCCAAGATGGCGGCAGCTCATTGTTTTCAGTCAAAATATAAGGTATAAAAAATCGGGAAAAGAGTTTCATATATAATTTTAAAATTACTTTCTTCAAACCCAACCAGGAGCAGCCGCGGAAAATGCTATGGGCCCTACGGCAGGAATTGAAACTTTTAATCTACAGGGTCATACAGGAGCGTTGGTTTAGTCGAGAGTGAGATGCCCAAATATCCTACAATCTAAATAAAATACAGTATAATACCATGCACATCTAGCATACTTCAGACGTCACTCACCTTTCATGGAGGAATACGCAATGCACGTAATGCATTCACCTTGTTCATAAGCAGCACTCTCTAGTCTCAGGACATAATTCTCATTGCGACCTATATCCAACATTCTATAGATAAAGCAAATACCATCATCGTGTTTATTTAAATATTTGATAAGATACCATATCTACATTGGACCAAAGGTTTGAGCTATCTTTTTCTGAGGTAGTTCAGACACAAATCATGACAATCTTTTGTATAATACTACGTACGCAGCCCGATAAGTAGCAATGAGTCAACCGAACCGGAATGTTTCAAGTTCATGCAGAGAAAGAAATCAGATACTGCATGAATGGATTCAATGGGATTTATCCAATTTCAGGTTGGTTAGCGTCCCAAATATTACCACAAACACCTTTTTTGTAATTGTGAGAGACGGGAAAAAATGTTTTAACTTTATAGTGTCAAACATTTCGTAGTTTAGAATATTAATTAGTTTAACTCGCAGTTTAGAATATTAATTAGTTTAACTTTGAACATTCGAAAGTAATGTTTAGTGTTTTGAGAGTGTTTATAAAGTGAATTGAAACTGTGATTTTATCAATAGGCAATTCCAGCTTTTAGTTTATGCGCGCAGGGGGTGACGGGAAGTAACGTATCATATTGCTGATTATTCTAAAAAAATCAATAAAAACTGCCGAAACAACCGAAATATTTCAATATTAACAAGTTTAAGCCATCACTCCGTGTTTACACGGCCGCCATTTTTATTTTTTCAGCATTTTCAGCAATATGATACCTTACTTCCCATCACCCCCTGCACGCATAAACTAAAAGCTGGAATTGCCTATTAGTGACTAGTGTTACTACTAAACATTTCCAACATTAGAAAATCAAAAACTTCCAAGAGGTTTCTCGCCTCTTCGGCTGCGACTCGGTAACTCTTAAACTTAGTTATAGGCATGTTACACTATAGATCTCCCCTTTTCAGGTGTAGCTTTTAGGTAGTTCACATAAACATAAATAATGGCAGCGGAATATTGAATAACATGCATTATCCAAACTGGACACCTACGTTTGCATACCTTAAAACATTCTCACCAGAAGCTGTTGCTAACACTCCTTGTCCCGCCCAGACGATATAACGACTCCCAGAACCTGCAGTGATCTTCACCTACAAAATACGTTGAAGTATATTTACTACCCTTTTCCATCCTACTTGGAACGCTTCTTGGTCGAAAAAGACCCGCTTAATTAATGTAGATCCCTTGGGTTTTTGCCAGGAGACTCCTGTTTCGTCCATTTACATGAAATTTATTGGTTTTATACACTATACAATTTATTGGTTTTGTATTGAATATTGATTTTTTTCTTCAATTTAAAAAAATCCTATGGATACGTTTCTTAGCAAATTTAAAAAATGTCAAAAATCAATGATTAAAAAATTTCCCTTTGATATAATTTTAAGAAAAAAGGATATTGCACTTGTTGAGCACAAAATTAAAAAAAAAATACCGAAGGAAAAGGGAGAAATTTAGGTTTAATTTTGGCATTTTTTTACGAGATGTGACGTGTACAAACGTTTCTCGCGTGGGTTTCACGATGGATTTCGTGAACAACAAGGCATGATTTTTTTAAAATTTCAAAATATAAACATGTTTTATATACAGTTTTACTGCGTCGGTTAATGGTCAACTAAGCGTGAATTATTACATGTAAAATTGACAAAGGTTATTAATTACTGGTTATGACTTGTTGGTATTCATTTGAAAATGTTTATCAAAATTCTTCCCGTGGCGAGTTAGTACTATTTCGCAAAACGCCCGTTCAATTTTTTTATGGTGATATGTTTGTGGTGGTATGTTTGCTAGATTGTGCAGAAAACACTGCAAATACTGCAATGTTCGCGATGCGACCCAAGCGTACGGTGGTAAAAAACGTCCAGAATACCGCTTGAAAAAACAAATTTACATTATATTTTTCTGAAACATCACGTCCAAGTATCGTTGTGGATTTTAGAATTCTTTTTATGCTTTTAACTAAAGCAAAGTTAACGCATTTGTTTCAAAAAAAGAGTTTAATATCAAACACACACTGGGGAAAAATGTGAAATCCATACTATGAAATTTGCAATTGCACCACTAAATCCATAGTATATCCATACTATTATATACAGGGTAAAAAAAAAAAAACTGAACAGATTTGAAATTGCTCTCAATTTCACAAAACAGCTGGTGGTATCAAGTTATTGTTATATATAGATTCCTTGAGTACCCATGCATGCATAATGTAGAATAATGAAAACAAATACTCAAACTCAGATTGTGTAAACCAGAGGGGTGTTTCCAACAAGCTAAAAATGGCTTGCGCACCAAATTTAGAAGCTTTAATCGTATTTTGAGTTAATGGAAGGAAAATTTGTTGGGTTTTTAATTACTGTACAAAATTTCAGACAATTTGTATTAAAAATGAATAGTTAAAGGAACTATTCATTTTTTCCTAAAAAATTTGCCTTTTGCATGTTTAATTAATGCCTTAACCTAATTTGCATATTGCGGACATATGCAAATTAGGCAAAGGCATTAATTAAGCATGCAAAAGGCTGATTTTTTGCCAAAATGTAAGTTCGCGTGAATAGTTAAATTAAAGGGCTTAAACTGATGGGTCCAGGACCTTCATTGAGGTTCGATCAATGCATTTTCTTCAGGCAGACTAGCAGCTCAACTGAACCTGCAGACAGTTCGACATGTAGTGTATCCAAAATATTTCTCCCATTAAATTGGCCCAAAACATATGTTTTTCTGACATCAGTAATGAACACAGACCTCCTACTTAATGTCAATCGTATGTTCCCATGTGACCATAATTCTCCAATCAGAAAACTTCGTTCGTGGGCGAACGAAGTCTCCGAAAATTTAAAGTCATGCCGACAGGCGTTTATTATTACTAGGCCCACCTGAATAAGCGCCTGTTCGCAGGCTATAGTAACCGTGAACTGGCTGGAAACAGTTTTATTTCTGAATCTTTTAGAACTAATATTTCGATATATCTCACTAAATATAGTATATATTTGTAGTACGTTGGCAAAACGCATATGAACGGTTTTATGATATTGATGCACGATATGCGAAGATCTTGAAGTTTTTTCAGACACTAAGTCATTAAGCAATGTGACGTCATATATAGTGAGGATAATTTGTATATTAAAAATTGTTAAAGATCTCTTGTGTCGCATCTATAATATACAACTAAAGTCGGCTCATGAAGAGTGCGCCGTCTATAACATACACGCACCTTCATGATCTCATTTGTGTTCCCATCCAGTGAGATAGAATGCTGGGTTAACATCATGTTCTCTGTGACAGTGACCAAGATATCTTTGCCCTCGTAATATAACAAAGTTTTTACACTTCCATCAACCGAAAACGACGTTGTAGTATGGCCTTTGTCATCAACAAGAAACACAACGCCTAAAGAAGGACAATAAATACATGACGTATTGCTACCACAGCCTCAGGAGGAAATCGAAAATAATTTAAATAAACTAAATTTACATAGCATAATACTGCATTTATATAGCCTTATCAGTTTTAAACTTTTCTCCCCAGACCGGCGGCCTAGAGGCCAGTAAGAGCCATCAATAATCGATCCAGTGTTAAGTCGATCTGTCCTAATCCATTGTAATTTCTTCTCCCTCACATTATTTGTAATGATTATTGGAAAGTGATACAGTATCCGAAAATTTGTGCTTCTTGTCATTTTCATTAACTTTACTAGATTTGTCAGAAAAGCTTTTCGCATAGTGTGATAAGCAAGATAGCGTGATCCATGCACTTGGGATGTTGCTCGGCTTTTGGAAAGCGTAAAAATACACTCGCCTGCGGCTCGAGTATTTTTACGCTTTCCGAAAATCTCGCGACATCGTTTGTACATGGATCACGCAATCCTGCACGGAAAACCATTCGATTCCTTCATTATTAAATAGTAAAATGAAAGAGAAACTAAAAGCCAACAGGCAATGTGAAGCAATAATGGCAGGACGAGGAATATTCTGACATCGCGTAGCAACAATCTCGTTTATTATTCATTGTACTACTTTCTCGTATTCTTATTGGTTGAAAGCCTACAGATAATTTTCCGTATCTCGTAAACTATCTACCTATCTATCTATCTATCTATCTATCTATTTTTGCAGCGGTATTTTGCATGAATTGGAAAAGAGCGGGAAATTTTGTAAAATTATTTTGTTTAGACAAGGGCTTCTGCTGCTTCGGCTCGTTTTGGTTTCAACTTGATTGTTCTTGTTACAGAATGAATAATAAAAGAATGATTGAATTCGGCTTACGCAGGATATCGCAGAATTATTCAAACCTCGGTCAGTATTATCATAATGCTGACCTAGCTCGGTCTGAATAATTCCGATATCCTGCTCAGTCTCATCCAATAATTCTTAAATATGCTATACAAGGTATAAAATATGCAGTTATTTTGACAATGAGCATTATTTACATTTATAAAGCGCTTCGCTGTCGCCAATGGACCAATCCCATACTAATCAAAATTTTGAACTCAACAGTGTAGACAAACTTTAATTTCATCACAGCTTGAAAGAGCATCACAAAATTAGCTATATTCCAAAGTTTCGTTGCGAAATGTTGTATAAAATGCGGATAATATAGCCTTGCAAAGTTTGCAATTTTCAGTCATTTTGTATTACAAATGGGAAATGGTTACCACTTCCGTGGTAATACAAAATGACTGAAAATTACAAACTTCACAAGGCTATATTATTTTTATTAAATTTTTGGACCTACAGAATTTTTTAAAAATTGTCCTAATAATTGCTCATATTAGAAAAAATATTGGGGGTCACCGAGTTCAAATGCAAATTAACAGCCATTTTGAAACGTCATTGTTGCCATAGTAACCACAGTTATGGATTTTTCAGTTACAGTTTCTGATTCTCAAAATACTGTTCTATACACGACATCTGGTTTCATTCTTCTGTAAAAATACCAGTGTATAAAATTTTTTGGTCTGAAATGTGTCTTTTCAACTTTTCAAGAAACTGTATGGAGCCACCTTAAGTAATAAAAGTCATTATGTAACAGTTTACCATCAGCCGTTCCAAAGAAAAATGAATTAGCAAATTGACTTGAAGGCTGTTTTTTCCCTTTGGCTGACGAGAATAGATCCAGAGCTTTCTCATCTCCATTCACAGCGGCTCTTGCCAGTCCAACCATATCTCTGAAATGAAAGAATTATGAAGACAATTATACCAGGGCATATAAACATAATAGGTAAATAGCAAGATTTTGTTGGCATCTCACTCGGTTAAATAATAGTTGAAGGCATTTTAGATGGAAATATTGTAGATGAAAATTATCGAGTGGAAATTTATATACATTCAATCATTAGACCCAAACAGGACAGCTGCGAAAAATACAACTTTAGGTCCCTGGCAGGAATCCAACTGAGCTACAGAGGCCAGTTGTCGAGCACTGACCACAAGTTCATGTATGTACACTAGGGTACTGCCATGTACAAGTTATGGGTATAAATATCAGGATTATGTTGGTTACCCTAGCTAGTATAATATGGCAGTACCCTAATATATAACAAACTTGTGGTTAGAGCTCGACAATTACTGACCTCTGTAGCTCAGTTGGTTAGCAGAATCGCAGGGCCACAGGCTCGATTCCTGCCAGGGATCTAATTGATGATTCCCCTTATTACGTTTTCGTAGCGCTTTGCATTGTGGTTATAGTGGTATCACTGATATTCCAGATCGCTTATTTTTTGTCCTGATCCGTGCAAGAACTTTTAAACAAAGCTAGAGTCAGGTGCGCGATAGCTAACAGCAAAATATTCGCGAAAACATTGAATATTTTCATTTGAGGCTGCTATCTTTATCAGTGATACCACTATAACCACAATGCAAAGCGCTACGAAAACATAATAAGGGGAATAATCAATTCTAAAGTTGCATGTTTCGCAGCTGTTCCTGGTTAGGTCTTATAAATGTATATAAATTTCCACTCGATAATTTCCATCTATAATACCATGATTCAAGCACAAACATAATAGTCAACAATGAAAGTAAACATGACACAAACACAACATTGAGGGCATGCGGTGGCTCTAACGTAACACGTCGTAACACAAACAAAAGCTATTTTTACATGATATCAAATCAGCCAAAATACGCTTAGTCTATTAAGCACTATATAGCTATATACAGCTATTTCAATTAAGGTTGTCCACGAGCAAAGTGGAAAAGTCGAATACGAGCGCGAAAGGCTGCTGGGAATCGCTAACAAATTAATGAATTTTCAAAGCGATTCCCAGAAGCCTTTCGCGCTCGTATTCGACTTTTCCGCTTTGCTCGTGGACAACCTTAATTGAAATAGCTGTATATAGCTATATAGTGCTTAATAGACTAAGCGTATTTTGGCTGATTTGATATCATGTAAATTTAGATAAATGCAATGTATCCTGGCAGGCAACAAGTGAAAAATCGTTGCCTGCCCTAACAGCCATTTCCATAAATGCTAAAAGTGGAGTAAAACGTTTAGAAATAAAGTTTTTTACGAAAAGAATGCAGCGCCACGTCTAAGAGAGAATTGGTGGCCCGCAGGTTCGATTTCAGTGAGGGCCGATATAGTTGCATTTTTTGCAAATGTATCACAATTCCACTCCAGACTTCCATCTACAAATCCCTTCAACAATTTGTTTTGTTTTCCCTCGAATATCAATGTTAACTCAAGTTGGACGGTATTGAAATTTCAAATCCGGTTTAAAAAATACCGTGCATGGTATACCAGCATATACCGTTATGCAAATACGTAAACGCCAAAACTTTATGCGCAACATGAAAGTGAACGAAGCTTCGATTAACCACATGCTATTTCGCAGTACTTACTCCTCGTTTGTGAACTTTTCTTCATTTCTGGCAGCTTACATAAAAAGATAGCTGCATGAAAGCCACTGATATCAGTATAATTTATAGTATAGCACAACAAACGGGGATAATGTTAAATAATAATAATAATAATAATAACGAATTTATTAAGGCATATCTACATAGTAGCTCTATACATCCTTAATACCTAAACTAAGATAAATATATATGTATATATGATATTTGGAAAAATAGTAAAAGGAGATTAATGTATATGAAATAGTTAAGCTAAAAATTGAATCAAATAGCTAAAATGTTATAAATGTTCGATTCGTTCTCGAGC